TAGACATTATTCAAACCTGTAAGCAGTTTGGTGTACTTCTCAAAAAAGTTACAGATCAACTTATTTCATGCATGATTAACTACAGTGAAACCTGTTTAAACCAGCACCCCTCGGGACCGAAATAAAATGCCAGTTTAGACAGGGTGCCAGATTAGACAGTGACAATCTTTTCCGTTGTAAAATGGCGGGACCAAAATGTTATGTCGGTTGTGACAGTGTGCCAGATTAGACAGGTACCGGTGTTGGCAGTGGCAGGTTTCACTGTATTGTAATGTGAAAGAATTGGTTGATCCGTACCTTGTTTTGAGTAGTTAATGATGCTGTGTTCACAGTAAGGACATATTCACTTATTCAAAGATGGCTTGCCATTTCTTTTGTCTAGATAGACAATAGCAGCAGTTTTGATTGGACTCTGATTTTAACCATTGGAGGAATGAATAAAATTAAGTTTACTAACAGTCAAATGAGGGTATTGAACAATGTGGACAAGCATGGTGTTTCCAATTTTGTTGTTGTGATGAAGCATGGCGTTTGAAGGATGTTGTTGATTAATAAGGATTTAGTTGAGCAGTGTTCCTCAGATTAAATTGGAAAATAGATTCATCAACATCAGCTTGTGAGTGGCAGTATATAGTAGGGGCGGTGGGGTAGCCTAGTGGTTAAAGCGTTGGCTCGTCACGCCATAGACCCGGGTTCGAATCCCCACATGGGTACAATGTGTGAAGCTCATTTCTGGTGTTCCCCGCCGTGATGTTGCTGGAATATTGCTAAAAGCGGCGTAAAACCAAACTCAATCAGTCAGTCAGTCAGTATATAGTATTTACTGCAGGTCTGTTATAAATCATATCAAATCATTAAACTGACATCTGTTATGACAGTGAAGTAAGTATGGAAATTGGAATATAACCCAAACAGATTTTGTAAATAACTAGACAACACAAAGGGGTGCAAGGTGTCTCAGGGATCTCTGCTAGTAAAATATGTTTTGATAATCATGTTTGTCTCCGTCAGCGGATTTATCTATGATTTTCCCCATAGAGCAAAGGACACTCAAATTGAAAACCAGTATTGTTTAGTTCAGGGGAGTTAGGGTAGCCTAAGTGGTTAAAGCATTTGCTCGTCACACTGAACACCCACGTTCAATTCCTAATGTGTGTATAATGTCTGGAGCCCATTCCTGGTGTACCCTGCCGTGATGTTGCTGGAATATTGCTAAAAGCGGCGTAAAACCAAACTCAGTCAGTCAGTCAGTATAATGTCTGGAGCCCATTTCTGGTGTCCTCTGACATGACGTTGCTAAAATATTGCTACATGCGGCATCAAACATTATTCACTCATGTACACCGTTTGTGCAACAGTGGGACTGTGTGTCCTTGATGCTGTTCCACAGCACAATCCTAGCGCTGCGATTGTCATAAGTCTGCATTAAAGTATGGGAGGTACGAACATCTTAGTGCTTAGATATTATTCAACAGTGCTTTGTGGAACATCTCCATTTTTCTAAAATTCCAAAATGTATTAGCCATGAATTCGGGCTAATCATTTCAGAAGTCAGATTACCATAACCAGAAATGGGACACCTTTTGGGGCTTTAATATTGAATGAAAATATTATGTATCATGAAATATTTTTTAATTTCTATGCACAAGAAACTCCTACAAAATAATCATGATCCCTAATGTGTTTAATATATACTGGCATCTGTGTAATATGTGTGGCTGAAGAGCAAAGTATCAGCCTCTCAGACCTCCTAGATAATTCGGGGTGGTGGGAAATTTGCTGGAATATTGCTAAAAGCGTCGTAAAACTAAACTCACTCACTCCTTGATAATTCCCAGCTGTCTGTAAAATGAGCGACAAAAATTAAATACTACTCAAAAGAAATAAAAAAACACCCATTCATTCATAATCCTGTAGTTAATTTGTTTTGTTGATTTCTTTTGAGTAGTATAAACCTGTAAACCTTTAATTTCTGGCTCAATCTATGAAATAAAATTGAAAAAAATGTTTGATCACTTTGCGAATTATTTTTTAAAAAATGACATTTGTGACGTATTGGTTGCACAAGGATCTGCCTTGTGCTTTGTACCTGTTAGATGATATGTAGCTTGTTATAACTATCTCCCTTGTTTTTGAATAATTATGTCTGTTTAGTTGTAGAAAGTATTATACAGGATGTATGTATATATATTTATTAATATATATAGTTTAGTATATAGCCATAGCAATTAATTACTTGTCTTTTCAATTATTTGTAAATATTCAAGCATTGTTGAGGTGGATACAGCAATGATAGAACAAGAGCCAGCTGTGATCAAGAAAATGATCTTAGCGCTAAGATGATCGTAACCCCGATACTTTGACATGGGTTTATTATAATCATAATGCTGAGATCATTTTGTTGAATCAAATTAGAACCCAGGGTGCTGTTCAAAACAACCTTAGCGATAAGTCTATGTTAAGGTATGGGAGTTACAGTTACCTTAGCGCTAAGACTACCTTAAGTCTATGTTAAGGTATGGGAGTTACAGTCACCTTAGCGCTAAGACTACCTTAAGTCTATGTTAAGGTATGGGAATTACAGTCACCTTAACGCTAAGACTACCTTAAGTCTATGTTAAGGTATGGGAGTTACAGTTACCTTAGCGCTAAGACTACCTTAAGTCTATGTTAAGGTATGGGAGTTACAGTTACCTTAGCGCTAAGATTGCTTTGCACATTGTTACAGCACCCTGGGCCCCATTCCTCAAAATGATCTTAGCGCTAAAATGGTTGTGACTCCCATACTTTGACATAGGCTTGTGATAATCATAGCGCCAAGATCACTTTGTGGAATGATGCTCTGGGTGTCTATGTGTTACAAGGAATAGGGTCAGTGATCAATTTAGTGCACTTTTCTGTCCGTTGAAATATTTACTGCAGTACTTACCTTTCAGAAGAATATTCACAGGTAAATCAAGGGTGTATTATATTGTACAATGTTTGTTCACAAGACTCTGCATCACATAGTTGAATAAAGTGCTGATAAATGCTGGGGTATTACATAGGTGTATCTGGCAGGTTAACGAGAATATACCTTGAATAGACTTTTAGAAATATTGTAGGGGCTATGAAATCATCTCCTTTTTAAAGATATTGAAGGACTTGTAATTAATTTGATGTGGTTAAACTTTCCTTTTGCTGAAGGACTGGTAGGAATATATACTACTCACACTTTGATAAGGATCACAAAAATTCACAACTTTACTTGAACGTAGACTTATAATTTGAAATTGTATCCATTTAAAACTGGATAAATAATGATATGGTAACCTGTCTTTAGGCAAACAGCCACTTTAATCTAACCGTATGCACTTGATACATGAGTAACCATAAAAATGGTTTTCATGGCACCAATCATTTTGCATATCATGGAACGAGTCATTGACAAATAAACAACACCTGTCAATACCAGATATGGGATCCACAAGATGCAATGACATACTGAAACCTAGGATCCATGCTAACATTAAGCTTAGATACTTAAACCAAATTTGGCCCCACATCATAGTTTTCTGTTGAATCCATGATTTGATCCTTAGCAAAGTGTGAATAGTATATATCAAGGAGAGAATAGTATACACCTAGAAAGATGATAAGCTCCTCAAATATTTGCATGTCAATTAGTTAATTTCCAAAATCTCAGACATATTTCAAAATGAAATCAATGGCATGCCGTAAATGCTGTATTAAGCTTCCCCTGATAAATGTCATGACCGGTCTGTGAATGATGTTTTAAAGTGCCTGTAGTGACAAACCTCTAGTCAAGTCTGTAAATAGTCATGGCTAGTGTCTGAAAACTTACATAAATATTTTCTTATCCATGTTTAAGTTCTATGTGTGTCTGAAATAGTTTTGTTCACAACTTCCTTATCTCGACCACAAGCTTAATTTGTGCATGGTTTTAAGAAACATCACCTTTGTTTCTTATTTTAACCACCCAGGGCATTCATTATAGGAAATATGGCTTGTACTTGGCTCCAAAAGGAACTTAAAAGTTCAGGATATATGAAATTAGAGAAGGGGGTTGCTTATACTTGTTTCAGGTGTATGTTTAAAAAAAGCAGATGAATACACAGAGACATAAAGATATTTTTCAAATTATTAATCTGAATCATTTTATGAGGCCCCGTTTCTCTTTATATCTGTGTCCTTCAGCAAACTGAGAGTGTAGTATTGGTCAACATATTTGACTCATTACATATTCAAAGGAGAAGTTTCCATACTTGTATGTCCTTAGTATAGTCAGCATGTTTCCTGAAAAGACACCAGATCCTATTTTAACATACTGAAAAATTAGTTTCCAAGACAAAAGTATTTTATTTAGAGGGCTGTCAATCTGGGATTAAATAATGTAGCAAGTGTAACTTGTATTTTGGTAATGTCGACCACATTGGCCGTTGTGAACATCTTGCATCATATGTTTCGGCCAATAAACTGAAAGGCTGAAAATCATAAGAAACAGCTTTTCTTTGTATATTGACATGTTTCTAAATTATTTATATTATATTATATTTCTATATTATTTATATTTGCATTATGTTTAATTCCTGATTCATTGTCTTCCTGAAAAAAATACAGCTGTGTTATAAAATCAAAAACATAGTTACCTTTCATTACATTTTGGACTTTGGTTGGATGTCCCAAGGCCTTTCTTGTATGGTCCAGGGACTAGATTTTCGAAGCTCTCTTGGCACTAAGATAGTCGTAAGTTAGTGTTAATGTATTGCACTTGTGACTATCTTAGCGAAAAGAGTAAAAAAAAATTATCCAGATTTGTGTCAAATAAATGATCACTCATATTTTATCCAGTAAGAGGTGATTATTTTCACCAGACTTGGCTCTTTTGAAAGTTTACCGAAAGATATCCCCCCTGATAAGTCAGCATGGTAGAAACTCCTCCTTGGAAGGTTTATGGAAAGTTGACCAAGTATGTGAATGAAGCATGTGGATGTTTTCAGGTGGCCATTCAAGAAAATTTGGTGATTGCTCCACTATGGGACTGCAGTCGAAAGTTCTCGAACCAGGTGGAATATGGTTACATCTTGTATGCTCTGTAACCACAACTCTTGGCCATAGACAAACATTTTCTAATGTGTCAAAGTTTCAAGAAAATCATAAAATGGGTGTCTTAAATGTCTAATTGGTTGTCTATTTTTGTTTTAATGTTCTCACCCGACTGTTTATCTGTGTGATAATAAAAAGACTGCAAAGTGAAATATACAATTTTTAAAAGTATAGGTAAATGACTTCTTCAAGGGTGATATTATAAGTTATCACATCGTGTTGAGGGCAATACAGGGTTTTATCAGTCCCGAGTATTAGCCAAGCCGGAGGCGAATACAACCTTACGAGGGACTGATAAAACCCTGTATTACCCTCGACACGGTGTGATAACGCATTTATCTAGCCGAATGTTTTTACTAAATCAAAAGAAAGCAATACACATCAATTTGATTCTCAGTTGTTGTGGCAAATCGTTTCCTTGCTGCCATTTTGACACCAGCTGATCGATTGACCTCAATCCAGCGCACGTTACTTAAGGCTTGGCAATGCACGCTTTTCTCACTCCGCGTGGTCATCGAGGCGTGGCGGGATAATATGACTTTTGTACTCCCTGCTCGCGGATGGTGACGGGTGTACATGGTATTTTATCAGAGTCACGTGAACCAATCAAAACTCGACATTCTTAAATGAGGCTGGATAATGACTTTTAACACTTGAGGCAGGGGCACTAATAATAACAACATATGCCAGAAATGCTAAACTTTGACAGACAAAGGCTTGTTCTGTTCTCTGAATCAGATTGCCTTGCCTTGGAATGTTGCACGTGCATGGTCATTACGAAGAATAGCAACCCAGTGGTTATACAGCACACAAACGGTATATTGGAGTTGTATACCTTGCATCCAAAAGGATCCAAAGGGGAAAACATGGGTCCACTGCCAAATACCAATCAAATCAGAGATTAAATCTCATATCATGCCTTGAGTTGTGGTTTACAGAGCTTATACAGGACACAAGCCAATCATTGTCCTCACTTAATGTGATATCTGTTCAATGCTATTTCTTGTCTCTGCATGAAATAGTATCTTCAGTTCCAGCTGGATGTAATTGCAAGCAACACGTTGGCCTTCTGTCACATGTTGGTTTTATTTGCAGTGCATGCTATAGCTTGTAGAAATACATAATGTGGTGTGTGTAGTGCCCTGAATCTGTTACACCATTAGATCCTGAGATCACACTGCATGCTTAGCGACACAGCTTATCTATAAGTCCTGCACAGCATTTTGTGTCTTTCAGACGAGTGAAACACTGTAGACTGTGGGTTTAAATCCAAGATTTCATTGTCTCTAGGTTTGTCAGCTCCGTTTCAATTAAGTGGCAAATTGCTAACATCTGTATCACCTTGGTTTTCTCCCACATGAAGCTGACAAATCTGGATAATATGGAAATGCTGGCGAAGAATTCACTCACTCACTGATAGCTGCATTTTGCAGACCTTATCCAGATAATAGACAAATGTCTTTCCCTGAAGTGCCTTAAGAAGTTTCATGTATAATGCCATGCCAGATTGATATTATAAAAAGAGGGGTGATAGATGACATCCCTGTATCATCCTATTTTACATTCCCAGAAGGCACTAAAAATGGAAGAATTAATATTCTATTTCTGCAAATCCATGACACTACTGGTGAATTTTATGTGCTTAATATATTTTAGTGACTAAAAATATGCTAATCAAGTGATAGTCAAAGTTATATGAGGGACAAATGTTTTAGTGATTTTATTTTCAGATTGGCTCTGTTTTGTTTAATGAGCAAAAACTGACAGCAAAGAAACAAATTTCTTGTCCTGAAAGGATGTATTGTAATTTGTACCCTTGAAAAATGGTCAGTCCCTGACAGTGTTAAGAAACACACTTTTGTGGATTGTTTATTGTCAGCAGTGGCATGGTAGGAACACTATCAGGTTATCACATATTGTATTATTTCATGACAAAGTTTATTTATATAAGTATAAGTATGCTTATGATTATGATTGTGCAATGCTTTTTTTAGACTTTCTCATAAGCATGATCAAAGATGTGTTTTGGTTGTTGTGTTTGTATCCTTGTGTACTTCAAGTAGCTTGAGTCTGAAAAATATGCATTAATCTTCCGTGTTGTATAATATATAGTGTTTGATATAACTGTCACATCTGTGTTTCATATTTCAGAGAATCAATGTAAATTTACTTCAGGTGTGAGGATATTTTGAGCATATTCAGCATATCTTTCTTGTATTTTCTCCAGGTTTTTATATGCTTATAGACAAAAATAAGGGAACGAACAACAACTTTATTATTATAGAAGACAGAAAATAATAGTACAAGTCATTGTGGTTGGGTGAAATGGGACTACAGCCATCTTTCATTATCTGGTATTTGTAACCCGTGAAGGTGCGGGTTAGAATATTGATCGTCAGTAACCCATGCTTGTCGTAAGAGGCGCCTAACGGGATCAGGTGGTCAGGCTCGCTGACTTGGTTGACACGTGTCATTGGTTCCCAATTGCCAAGGTCGATGCTCATGCTGTTGGTCACTGGATTGTCTGGTCCAGACTTGATTATTCACAGACCGCTGCCATATAGCTGGAATATTGCTGAGTGCAGCATAAAACTAAACTCACTCACTCACTCACTCTGGTATTTGTGAAACATGCTTCCTTTACAAATATTCCCTTATTTTTTTCCATGAGTATATATTGTTTGCAGAAGCCATTGAGACACTGCAGCAAATGTTTTGACTATATTAATGATTGGGACATTTCAGCCTGTCATCCTCATCTTTAACAAAGTGTTTGATCAGGTTTCTTTTCAGAATTTTTCTTGATACTATCATGCAGCGAAGTGGAAACAAATGTAACCAAAATTGTTTGCATAAATTTTGAAAAACGGTTTGGGCAGCTCATGATTACATATCTGATGTTTAAAATTCCAAGTCTAGAAAGCCGGCCCTTTACCAACAAACAAACATGCTCTTTTGCCAGTTACACCAAATTGCTGTTTCTTAAGATAGTCAAGAATTGTAACTCTTTTGCATTGACATTTTATGTATTAAATTCAGTGGCAGCTAGATGGGGAATTGCTGAAAAAATGGATTGTGAGAATGGATTATAACTGTCTTGGCTACAACCAAAAACAGGATACTCCTGTCGCTGCTGTTCTGTGTTATATATAAATGATGGAACATTTGATCTTGGGGGAATTCACTGGGAATTTTTTTCTTTATTTTTATCCTTTTGAAAATTTGACAGAATATTTTTAAAAATATGAATGATATCGCCTTTACTCCCTGAATATAAATTATTCACAGGATATCTTGAAAGAAAAGACACTGAGTGAAAAAGCAGATCCTGCTTTCAGAGTAAAAACATTGGAACTTGACCTTGACATTTGCCCTTGACCTTTGCCCTGTTAAAGTCTTAAAGCCTAGTCTTACAGATATATGCTGACTGTGTAATATTAATCTCATTCTTTCACACCGTCCCTGGTAAGAAAGTACTGGATAACCACAAGATAGTTTATCTAGTATAGGTTTTTTTAGCAAGCTTGGGAATGAGCCAATTTATTATGTGTGCACCCAGTGCACTCGACAACTGTAGTGTACAATAAATTCTGATTCCGTCAGTGTTCCTTAATTGCACGCTTGTACCTTTTTTTTAATTGCACACTTGTACCTGTTATCAGAAGTGATATACCCTCTTGGCAACTCAGAAGGGTTTACAAATATATGACCTGTGAAGATCTGGGTTAGAATTGGTCTTCAGTAACCCATGCTTGTCGTAAGAGGCAACTAATGGGATCGGATAGGTCAGGCTCACTGACTTGGTTAACATATGTCCTCATATCCCAGTTGCATGCTGTTTATCACTGGTTTGTCTGGTCCAAACTCAATTATTTACAGACTGCTGCCATATAGCTGGTATATTGCTGAGTGCAGCATAAAACTAAATTCACTCACTCATTAAAGAATCTGTATTTTCATATAAATATGGTTAATCAGACTGGCACACTATCTTTTGTCATATTCTAAAAAATGGTTTTCTTTAACTGTGCACTCATAGGCACTGAGTTCAAATGCAAATTTCGCCCTTGAAGAAAATAGTTATGTCTGCATTATGCTATTTTATTCCATTTATTGTAAATCCATGGATAAAGATGAATGTTTCAGGCAGTGTTGTTTCTCAAATGAAGAAGGTAGGTTTGCAGTACAAACTTTCAGCTTGCCTAGAACATGTAATCATTAACTAGATTATTTATCTTTCTTATTTGAATGACCATTACAATAACAGCTGATCATATGATTTCTGAAAAACTGCCTTGACCTTGACCATGGCCAGAGCATGTCATTGAAATCAGTTTGAGGTTAACACTCCAATTAACATACACAGTGCCCTATTTTAGTGATTTTTAAAGGGTATTTTTAAAAGCTTTCAGTTGAATTAGTATTTTTAAGATTAATGGGCACTGTGACCTACTTTTGAGGTGTAACATAAGATCCAGATTTCCAACTGTATTAATCTGTGTGAGTTCTGACCTATTTTTTATTTTATCTGTATATTTGGTATGGTTAATTTTTTTGGTGGGATTGTAGAGCAGCTGAGGGAATTTCATAGATTTTGTATGTCTTGAAGTTTTGTATCAGGCATGTTTAGCCACCATACATATGTAGGTCACCTTGACCTACTTAATTTTTTGTATGCTTTTCACACTATGAATGCAATGATATGAATAGACACCATTTCTTGCACTCAAAATATAATGTTGACAGCTGGCTTTTCTACCAACTGTAGTGGCGGTGGGGTAGCCTAGTGGTTAAAGTGTTGGCTCGTCACGCTGAAGAACCGGGATCGATTCCCCACATGGGTACAATGTGTGAAGCCCATTTCTGGTGGCCCCTGCAGTGATATTGCTGGAATATTGCTAAAAGCAACATAAAACAATAATCATTCACTCACTCACTCACTGTAATCCAGAACAGTTGT